AGACTTCTCTTGAGAGAATGTGGCCCAACAACCATCAGTCATGACTCTCAGAGACGGAAAGTGAAGCAGGCAGCATGTGGCGTGATGAGACTGGTCGAATGACTCCCACAGAGTAATGATGACAATAACTGAGATTACACACCTCAGCCTTTATGCTCTAGCCTTTCATTAGTTGATCTGACATCACATTTATACTCGATAACCCTGGGTTCACAACATCTTATATTTCAAGAGAAATGCATGAAATGAGAAATTCCAACCTCCCTGTGTTCCCAGAGCTAATAATATGGCTCTGAAGAGAAGGTAATATATAATCTGACCTTGAGAATAGCATGAAAGTTGGTCAAAAAGGCCAATTTAATACGACCTACAGTCATTGCATGTCCAATCTCTTCTTAAATGATTTTTACTTCCAGTCTGTAAAACCCTGCGGGGGAATTGGTTGTGCAAGTTTACATTATACCTCTTTTAGTTTTCTTAAGCCTATCCCTTTCAGGCACCAAGAAGACTCATTAATTCTAAAATTCCAGGACCGAATGAACAAGTCTACTTTAATCTGTTATTATCCCTCATTATTTCAGAGATTTTGATAATCTCACCTTTAAGTTCATAATTTTATTCTAAACAGTCCCCCTAAAAGCTCCCTATTCCATGGAGAGCTGAGTCAACCCCTCTTGGGCTTCTCTCTAACTGTTGTCAACCCAGAGCACCGCACCGATGACAGTTTAATAGGCCGAATTAGTCCAATGGATGCAAAACATGAAATACTTAGCTTTCTTTCTTTTTAAAAAAAAAATTATATTTTTATTGATTTCAGAGAGGAAGAAAGAGGGAGAGAGAGAGAGAAACATCCATGATGAGAGAAAGAGAATCATGGATTGGCTGCCTCCTGCAAGTCCCCCACTGGGGATCGAGCCCACAACCCGGGCATATGCCCTTGACCGGAATCGAACCTGGGACTTTTCAGTTCACAGGTCGACGCTCTATCCACTGAGCAAACCCAGCTAGGGCCTCAGCTTTCTTCGAAAACTTTGTAAGTATTGCTACTTAGAAGGGGGCTGCTGACAGTGGAATGGAAGGTACAACATGAGGAGAAAGGAAGGAAGAACTTGGAGAGCTGGTGGGAGAGGAGTAAGAACTCAGATCTGGAGAGAGTGGTTAGCAGGATTGGTTGTATGGTAGAAAAAAAAACCCAAAAGCTTCAGGAAGCCCCAAACAGGAAAGTGAAAGAAAAGAAAAAGCACAGATAAATATTTTCAAAATAAATATATTCTTCTCAAGAGCTGAGTACATTTCACAGAGTTTCATTGCTGCCCCATCTCAGCTGAGTTCAGACACATTTGTCTCTAAATGTGTCATGGAACTTCCTGGATGAAGAGAACTACAGCCCTCATCCTGACAGCTTCTTGCTCTGAGCTCCGGTGGAGTTGTAATAAGGACAGTTGAGGGGCGTGTGTGTGTGTCCACATTTTTAACTATTTGAGGGCTATAATATGGAATAATAGGAACCATCAGATTCTCCCACAAAATACCCTCCAATGATAGATCTGGTGCACTGGGTTTGGATTATAATAGCTAATACTGAGCCCTATGACCCAGGTACTATGCTTCCCTCTTCACAGAGATGATCTTATTTCACCTCAGAGCCTGAGGAAGATGTATAGCTTTCTAGACCTCCATTCTACATATCAGAAAGCTAAGGCTTAGAGAAGTTAAACAACTTCTCCCAGCCAGTAAGAGCTAGAGTCAGATTTTTGTGTTTTAAAATGTAAACTTGATAAAGAGTAGGTATTTGACTAATTTCTGTCTAAGCCCTCGTACAGCATCAAGAATGAAGAAACCGTCAACAAATGTTTGACAATTTTGTAATCAAGTTGGCCATCTTTTCATTGTTAGAAAGGGGGTTAGGGTCTTTTTAATTATGCAGTGATCATGCTTCTACTGACACCAACATTAACATCTTAATGAAACCAGGGGGATTTCTGACCCTTCTCAAGCAGCATATATACTATCTTCTAGAAATCACTGGAGAATAAAAAAAGCAATGTCATGTCTAACAAGGGCCTTTGTATAAAAGGGCCAACTGAGACTCATACTTACAGGCCTATTTCATTGAATCCCTCCTTTTTATAATATCCTTAATGTCATCATCTAAGGACAATGAAAACGTCATTCCTCATTGTGGGACTGTCCCTTTTCTCACTCTGCTTCAGGAAGCCCAGATGGGCATAGCACTCCCACCGAATTCAAGAAAGGCTCACTGCGTGGATCGTTCTCAAGGGTGCAGAGTGAAATTATAAACTGACCACGATGCAATAAGAAGAGTTCAGATCTTAATTGGAAAAGTCAGGCATATTCTCTCACACTTGAACTTGTGCATAGCACTTGTACATGGAAAAAAAAAATCCCATGGTTGTTCTAAATCCATGATGGTAATAGTGTGTCCAATCTTTGCAAAACAGAAAACATAATTTTTTTAAATGCCCAAATGTGTTTCCCTTAACAAACAACTTACATTAAAGTGCCCTTTGAGGGCATTATACTACATGAAATAAACCAGAGAGAGAAAGACAAATACGGCATGGGATCACTAATATGTAGAATCTTTGAAAAGTCAAACTCATAGAAACAGAGAGGAGAAGAGTGGTTACCAGGGACTGAGGGGGTGAGGGAAGGAGGGGAGGCATAGGGAGAGGTTGATAAAAGGTTACAAACTTTCAGCTATAAAATGAAAATGATCTCAGGATCTAATATAGAACATGGTGACTACCGTTAAGACTGTATTGTATGATTGAAATTTGCTAAGAGAGTAGGGCTTAAATGTTCTCACAAACACACAAAAAGATAAATATATAGGGTGATGGATGTGTTAATTAACTAGATGGGTGGAAGCCTTTCACACTGTACACTTTAAATATCTTACAATTTTTTTGGTCAATTATACCTCAATAAAGCTGGATAAAAATAAAATGCCACTATATTAATGTTAAACTTTTGGGATCTGAACTTTATCATAGTATCTCTGTTGCTAGATTAAAATCTTCAAAATAACACATGTGAAAAACAATGCCCTTTAGTGGAATCTTAGCCTAAAGTAGACATTAACTTGCATTTTAACTTTTCTGTATGTCTGGCCTCTGCTGAAACTGGTGGCTAACCTTCTCAGTATCATCTTAGTTTTAATTTTGCACATGTTTGTCAGGCACTTTCTATATGTCAGAGTGATAAATGCTTTTGATTGATCACCTTTCTTTGGTCTCCACAGCAGTGCCATGAGCCAAGAAGCACCTTCTCCTGTATTTTGCTGATGAAAGAACTAAAGCTTATGTGTCACAGTAGTTAGCATAGGGTGGGAACAAGATTGAGCCATCAGTCTGAACTCACAGCCCATATTCTCACCCATTGTGTGAGGTGACTTTCCTGGTTTAGTCACCTCATTAGATCTTTCAAACCAATAGAGCACTGGTATCTAGCTAAGATCTGAGGAACCCTGTGCCATGCAGCCAATAGACGGCCTGTGTATGCTAGGGGACTTGGGAAGTGGTACTAAGTGATATGTTACTCGATCTTGGTATGGGGTCATCACCTTTCTCAGGATATCTCATCACAAAATCATAATCAAGTCATTAAAATTGTTATAAAATAAACCCAAAGGCCTCCTAATCCTACTTCTCTGTCTAGAGTTGAACAGCCAACACACAGAACAGTGGGGGTGAATTTTTCCTTGGGTCTAACTAATAGTATGATTTCATAGCAAGAACACTGGATTGAACAACAGGGGGTTAGGTTAGGGTGTTCATCCTACAAAGTAGATTTGTCAGGACACTTTTTCTCTCTGGACCAAACTCTGTTCATCTGTAGTAGCCAGGAACTCATTCATGCATCCGATGCATATTTATTAAATGCTTATTATGAACCAAGCCCTATGCTAGCTATTGGGATATCAAGACTGTAAGAGATATTCATTCCCATCTAGAAGCTTATAGTTTAGTCAGGGGCAAAAAGATAAAAAAGTACTTGCAGTTCGGTACGTCTGGGTGGTGAGTGCAGTGATGGAAGAGCACAGAACATTCCTAGGAGAGGCAACCAGCCTAGGCTTGGGTGGGAGTGTTCAGGCAGAGCTTCCTAGAGATGAGTGAGAACCAACATGAGTCCTGGAAGGATGAGAATAAGTTATGCAGATAAGAGAGGTGGGAAAAGTGGGAGGGGAGGAAGGGGAAAGGGAACTTCAGGAGGAAGGAACAATGAACAGAGCCTCAGGGTGAGATGGAGACAGGAGTGTACCTGTCAGGAGCTCAGATGGCTGGAGCTGTGTGGTTGTGCAGGTTGTGTGTGTGCACCTGTGCCTGCATGTGGGCTGGCAGGTGCCTGATGGTGGTGGTGGTGGTGTGTGTGTGTGGGGGGGGGGGGGGAAGGGGCATAGGGGATGCAGGAAGGGATGGAGCTGCAGTGGGTGGGGAACTGTGAAAATCATTCATATCCTGACTCAAGGGCCATAGGAAGCTGGGTCAGAGTTTTAAGGAAGAGGGTGGCATAATTAGGTCAGTATTTTCAGGGGCATTCTGGGGACAGTGTGGAGAATTATTCGTGGGCAGCAACCCTGGAGGCAAGCAGGCTCCCTAGGGATGCTGATGTGGCTCGTCCAGGAGCCACACTTGGGGGACCACTGTGTGAAGCAATGTTGACAGCTAATTATAACATTCTGGGATTCTTCCTGATTAAAAAAGCAGCTTTCATGAGTATATATATATTTTTCAAGCATACTCATTCTATCTAAATTCCTAAGATGAATATGGGCTTACTGATAAGTTAAATTAATTATCCTTGCCCTAGATTTTGCTTCGTTTATTTTCCCAAGTTAAACTTTATTTGATACACAAGAGAAAAATCTCATGGTACATCCAGTAATTTGCAACAGGATTAAAAAGCTAAAATGCCACTGCAGTTGACTAAATTCTTTGTCTGATGGAAATACAATAGAGCAATTGAAGCCTGTAATATTCGGGTGCAGAGTTTAAACATTAAACCTTGTAGAGGGAAAAAATAAGTCTTATCTGCTTTATATGGATAAAAAATCCCATTCCTCCTATTTTGACGCGGGGGAAAAAAAAAGAGGTTAGAACGGCAAACTGCATATATACCCAGTAATCACAAATTCCTTTCCTTATCAAGTATCAGGAAAGAACACTATATCAAAGAGAAACAATGGCTCTTCAGAAAAAAAAGGAACTCTGTTACTTTAGAACAAGGCCTGCATGTCCCCAAGTCTCAATCTCATTGAAACAAAAAAGTTCTGTGTTACATTTTTTCATCTAAAGAACAGTGAGTTTGTAAAACCATCCGGCTGCTCTCCGACTTGAGGGTGGACTATTCATAATGCAGAATATTTTAGCAACACACTGAGCCTGTTAGTGTTGAAACATATGCCCATCTTATAAGAAAGATGTGGTCAAAATAAATAGTCAACATGTGATGATGTACAAATGCCGTCTCTTAGGAGTTCACTTCAGTGATGCTACAAGGATCTCTTTTCTTCACCAATGTCACTGAGGTGCAACTTCACCCGTTTCTTCATCAGCTGTTTGCTTCCGAAAGCCTCGCCTTCTTAGGCTTGTTCACAGTGTCCCAGTTAGTTTAACGTCACATTTCCCTTGAAAATGTAAAAATGCCCCATATTACTGAAAAATGTTAATCACCCAAATCTTAATAGAAGGCTAAGTGCAGCCAGAATAACCAGTGAAAGGGGCTAATGACACCGATTCTATCAATTGAGGTATTCCCTCTTCGCTAAGCATCTCGTTTGTGAACTCACAATTGGTTTCATTAGAAAGGATTGCAGCATCCCAAGCACTGGGCCCTAATTATAATCACAGGTGTGGCCTGCAGAAGGCAGAAGCAGATGAGCTCATAAGAAACAAAGATTTGGTCTGCTGGACGGTTTGTCTTGTCTAAAGAACAAAGAGTGGCCGCACGGATGAGTCACCACGTAAACAAATGGAGCAATCACCAACCTACAACACAGTGCGTGTTCCTCCGCCAACAAACACACCTCTCCTTTTTCCCCGGCGGAGCTGAGCTTTGCGTCTCTGTACTCCCCTGACCTCCAGCTGGTGGGCAGGGGCTGATTGGGTAACAGTAATGAAGCTTCGTTCCCCTCATCTTTCATCACCTGCCCCCACCCCAGTCGATTTTGCAACTACCACGAGAGGACAATACAGCCATTGACCTTGAATGAGAATGTTAAAATGTCATTTCTAGCTCAGCTGGAAAGAGGACAGTCAACCCAACTTTCCTTTAGGGATCGGCTACTGAAGTGATAGGCACTGCTTTTACTTGTCTTTAGAAAGTCCTCTTTTGGTCCAACAGGGAATTAGGTTGGATTTTAGGCTAATTGGAGCAACATACTTTACTTCTTGACTTCCAGTTTTATGTGAAAGCAGTTTGCAGGGCCAGCAGCCAAGTCTTGGATGGCAGAGTGAATCAGAAGAGCACTGCAATTATGCAAACGATCAAGAACAGAAAAAAAAAGAGCTACACAGCAAGATCTTTTTTGCATAATGTAGGTGAGGCAACTGTACCTCCTTTCCCTGTTTTCAATGTGGCTGTGCTCTCAAAGATGGTTCTACTCTACTTGGACTGGATGGTGAAGGACAATGTTGGGGCCCCACAGGGGTTAGGGTTTCGGTGTGGCCTTTCAGGGGATGGTGAAGTGGATTACGGACTTTTTCAGGCAAAGCAAGCATTCAACCTGGTATTTATAAGCCAACATAGGGCAAGGTTGGGAGAGGAAACATACGATAAAGGAAACTTTTAAAGTCTGACACTTAAAATAAGATGCTTTCAACTTTTCTCAGCTACTCTTTATTATTGTTTGTGACTCAAAGTACCAAATTAAAAACAATTTCCTTCATCTCAGAAACCGGGCTTTGGAGACAGAGTGGTTTAACCTGGAAGGTGACAGCGGATATAAGGGCAAGGGAGAATGTCATTCCTTCATGAAAGTAATGAAGAGCTTAAACAGATGATGGGTAGCTCTTCCTTAGGAATCTGTAGGGTGGGGAGAACCCTGAAATGTGCATAGAAATAGACACATGATCGTCTCTCTCTCTGTCTTTAGTGGCTACAATTGCATGCCCTGTTCTATTTTGCAGGCATTTGCTTGGCAACTTGGGACTTTGAGGGCAGAGGAGAAAGTTCAGTGTGTCCCAAGTGTGGCTGATCAAAAGGGGAGAGCAGCAAGCAGCGCCTTGACATTGTGATGAAAAGAATAGCAGCATTATCCCCTCCAGCCAGCGGGACACAGACGAACGATGGGGCCAAGCCCCTTGAAAGCTATTAAAGATGAGAGTCATTGACTGGCAAGCTCCTTTCATTGGTGACCTCTGCTGTTTCCCAGGGACTCACCAACCCGGCTTTATGGTCACAGTGTGCTCAGGACGCGCAGAAAAAATGCCCGAGGCCATAGGACTCTGCCTGAAACCCCAGCACAAAGCCGGGTCTGACAGGAGGCGGCGATCCCTGGCAACAGCGAGACACGTGCGTCACGTCTCCTGGGAATGTCAAGGCACCGGTTAGTTTCCCAGCCTCCGCGTGGGAGGAGAGGACAGACTGGGCTTGGCCCTTTGAAACCTTCATCCCTCCTGGTTGTTTATTGACACCAAGCTGCTGCGAAAAGGCTCGCTTGCAGGGGCACCAACCTGGGGCACAGGCAAGACAGGCGGTCGGGGTGGGGTGGGAGGAAGCTGCAAGCCTGTAGGGGACAGAGGGGCACGGGTCCTTCCTGAGACCACAGACAACCCTTCCCCGCGTGCCTCACATGTCATGACACGGCCGGTCCTGTGGAGCCGGTATTTTGAGGCCGGGGAAGAGCTCAGATGAGGCGTTCAGACATGGCAGCAAATGGTTCCTCAGAATAGTCTACAAACGGATGCCTGGGTGGGATTTTTTCCTAGCAAACATCAATTGGAAATAAATGAACAGTAGTTAACAGGATGCATGTTTTTTTAAAGAGTTATACGAATATTGCCACGTGGAAAGCATAAAACAGAAGCAAAACGCACAGAAAGTCACGGCTTCCCTTAACTTAGTCACTAGCAGCATTCACTGCCATAGCGAAGGTGATTTCATATCCTTACGTTTCCAGACCTGTGCACTCCCACAAGTATGGGTTTGGGAGAACAGCTCTTTGAGAGTTTAAGGGCTAGTGTTTGTCTTGCTCTCTAGCTAAGCATAACCTACAGTGTAGCATGGGGGTTAGGGAGCAATGAGTTCATTGACATGGCTACTAAAGGCTGAGAATCCTCGAGGCCCAAAATTAATCTGGACCTTTCAATGAGCACTTAGCTCTTGTCATTTTAAGTCTATTTTGCCTTTTGTCTGTTTCCTCCTCACTGATCTCAACACGCTAGCACTTCACAACCAGGGTGAGAATAAAACGACGTTGCTGCGGCCGTTAGAAAACACACTAGTACTTCTAAAGAACAGGTGGGTGCTGTCTTATCTACAATAGCTACCGAGCAGGTACTATGTGCTCATTAAACACAGCGCCACAAGCGTAAACGGAATAGTTAATATGCCAAGTGCTTCATCCTCTTATTACTTATAATTCTGAGGTTCGGTGCTATTATTTTTATTCCATTTTAGAGATGAGGAAATGGAGGCAAGAAAAAGAGTGAAGGCCACATAGCGTTAACAAGGAAGGCGAGAGGGAGTTAAGACTTGAATCTAGCCACATCTATGTATTTGAGCATCATGAAGTAAGAAAATGCTTTCCCTTCCCAATGGTTTCACAGGGAGATAACTTCGTTAGCTTTCTTCTCAAATTCAACCCCTTGTCCCTTTTTGTCCCTCCCCACCTATTAAAAAGGCTTGGATTTACCAGAAAATAATGTTTTACATCAGAGTTAATTTTATTCTTCTAATAGCTAATAATACCTTCAGACCTTGTGTGAATAACTTTGTACCATCTTTGGGGGTGACGTACAGAATGCTATAATTATACTATTTTTACACTCATACTGTCCAAGATCTGAGGTGTGCTACCTACAGGAGCTATCTGCACGTGACATGAAACTTCCAGAGGAAGTGACTATAATACCACACTTGAAGAATGAGTCATAAGTTAATGGGAAGGGCAGGAATGGAAATGTTTTTATGTTGCCTTCATTATTCAACTAATTCCTCTCTTCTGATGTTTTCAACGAAGCCAGGCCCACCCAGGAGAAGGAAACAGTAAAGCCTCTTAGAAATGGGCTTTAGGCTTTATGTCTGTAAAAGATACACCATGACACCTTTTCAACTGCTTATCTAATTGATCTCTAAGCTGTTTAGCAGAGGGAGAAGATATAAATAACTCTATTTAGGGGATGCCAGAATTAAGGACTAATAGAGTTAAATAACTTGTCTCAAGTTCTATGAGGAGCAAAAAGCAACGTCATTATCCATACTCTAAAGCTTCTGCTCTATCAATAGTTTCTAGGCAGCAGCATAAAGATATGCTCCTATTCGAAACCACTAGGTTTTCTTAGATACAGTGAAGTTTCTGTGCTCAAAATTAAAAGCCTCTTAGTTTAGATGGACAATTACAAGACTGTTGCAGGCATCTTATTTCTTCAAGCCGTCAACAAGCTTTCTTATATTAAAAACTAGAGGCCCAGTGCACATTTGTGCACGGAGCGGGGGGATCCCCTCAGCCCAGTCTGCACCCTCTCCAATCCGGGACCCCTCGGGGGATGTTCAACTGCCGGTTTAGGCCCCATCCTAAACCGGCAGTTGGACATCCCTCTCACAATTTGGGACTGCTGGCTCCTAACTGTTCACCTGCCTGCCTGCCTGATCGCCCCTAACTGCCCCCTCTGCTGGCCTGGTTTCCCCCAACTGCTCCCGCACCCCCCTCTCCCCGCCCCCACTGGCCTGGTCGCCCCACAAAGCCCGCTGTTCAGTCATCTGTCCGGTTGTTTTGGTCATGATGGCCCCTGGCTTTTTATATATTAGGATTGCTTTGTAAAAATAATAAATAATTGGAGTGTTGAGGGGAGTCACTAAGTTCTTAGTTTTTATTTTTGTAGCTGCTATCACTTTTAAATGTGGCAGAATATAGTAGTATTGCTCAAATAATAAAAAAGTTCTTTTAAAAAAACACTTCAATGTTGTGAATGCGCTGGTCTTGAATAACAGGCATAGGAAACTGATGGCCAGAGGCCTTTAGGCACATGCCTAGCAAGGCCTCAGGCTCTCGGTGTTACCCAACCCCATGGTATCTGTCATGTTTTATTGGCTTCTTCTTATTTAGTCATTGTATGGTTTGGCACCATAGTGAAATTTCACATTTTTAAAAACAATAGTGTGAACAAAGACCAGATTTTTTTTTCTGTTAATATGTTATTTAATTTGCTCTGGGTGCTTAAAAAGCAAAACCCTACATAGCTAATTATATATTGTCTCCTGTACTAGTTCAGTCTTTTTTTTTTTTTAAATCAGGGAAATGATAATCATGACTTAGATTTGAGGACTGGGGGTGGGAGGAGAGGTGTCACTGAAATCATGAGGAAAAAGGATGAGCTAGTAGCTTGAAGAAGAGCAGGGACAGGGTGTTCATTATAGTTGGAGCACATCATGGTTAGAATGATTTGGCAAGTCTGTCACACATGC